CGAGCTGAAGAAGTGCTGCAACCACGCTGCTCTCATCCGACCCTCCGAGTTTGAACTTATGGGTCTGCAGCAGGATGAGGCACTGCAAACTCTACTGAAGGGATCCGGAAAGCTTGTGCTGCTCGATAAGCTACTCTGCCGACTGAAAGAGACGGGCCACCGCGTGCTGATTTTTTCCCAAATGGTGCGCATGCTGGATGTGCTGGCTGACTATCTGCAGAAGCGTCACTTTCCCTTCCAGCGCCTCGACGGAAGCATAAAGGGAGAGATGAGGCGGCAGGCTCTGGATCACTTCAATGCCGAGGGCAGCCAGGACTTTTGCTTCCTGCTGTCCACAAGGGCTGGTGGCTTGGGCATAAACTTGGCCACAGCCGACACGGTGATTATCTTTGACTCTGACTGGAACCCTCAAAACGATTTACAGGCGCAGGCGAGAGCGCATCGAATCGGTCAGAAAAACCAGGTTAACATTTATCGCCTGGTCACCGCGCGATCGGTAGAGGAACAGATCGTGGAGCGAGCCAAACAGAAAATGGTGCTGGACCACCTGGTCATTCAGCGGATGGACACTACCGGACGCACTGTCCTGGATAAGAGCGGCAACGGACACTCCTCTAACTCGAATCCGTTCAACAAGGACGATCTGTCTGCTATCTTGAAGTTTGGTGCAGAGGAGCTGTTCAAGGACGAACAGGAACATGACGACGACTTGGTTTGTGACATTGATGAAATACTGCGCAGGGCCGAGACCCGAAACGAAGACCCGGAAATGCCAGCAGACGACCTGTTATCCGCTTTCAAAGTGGCCAGCATAGCTGCATTCGAAGAGGAGCCGACCGATTCGGTTAACAAGCAGGATCACAATGCCGCCGGCGAGGAGGATGACAGTAAGGACTGGGACGACATCATTCCGGAGGGCTTCCGCAAAGCAATAGACGATCAGGAGCGAGCCAAGGAGATGGAAGATCTCTACTTGCCGCCTCGCAGGAAAACTGCCGCCAACCAAAACGAAGGAAAGCGTGGAGCCGGCAAAGGGGGCAAGGCGAAACAGCAGGCAGACGACTCCGGAGGCGACTCGGACTACGAGCTGGGCTCCGACGGCAGTGGTGACGATGGACGACCCCGCAAGCGTGGGCGGCCTACCATGAAGGAGAAGATCACCGGATTCACGGATGCGGAGTTGCGCCGCTTCATTCGCAGTTACAAAAAGTTTCCCGCTCCTCTCCACCGCATGGAGGCCATCGCTTGTGATGCTGAGCTGCAAGAAAAGCCACTCGCGGAACTAAAGCGTCTCGGAGAGATGCTGCACGACCGCTGCGTTCAATTCCTGCACGAGCACAAGGAGGAAGAGAGTAAGACTGCGGCGACGGACGAGACGCCGGGCGCCAAGCAGCGCCGCGCACGCGCCACCTTCTCCGTGAAGCTGGGTGGCGTCTCTTTTAATGCCAAAAAGCTGCTGGCCTGTGAGCAGGAGCTTCAGCCGCTCAATGAGATAATGCCCAGCATGCCCGATGAGCGCCAGCAATGGAGCTTCAATATCAAGACACGCGCCCCGGTCTTTGACGTGGAGTGGGGCAACGAGGAAGACACGAAGCTACTGTGCGGCATTTACCAGTACGGCATTGGATCCTGGGAGCAGATGAAGCTGGACCCCACGCTCAAGTTGACCGACAAGATATTGCTAAACGATACCCGCAAGCCACAGGCCAAACAGCTGCAGACGCGTGCCGAGTACCTGCTCAAGATCATCAAGAAGAACGTGGAGCTGACTAAGGGAGGACAAAGGCGACAACGGCGCCCCCGAGCATCGCGAGCCAACGATGCCAAGGCGGCCAGCCAGTCTGCTAGTTCGACCATCGATGGTAAGCCGCACGACGGCGAGGACGCAGGTGGCGACGCACGCACCGCCATCGAAAGCAGTAACAGTCAAGTAGATCCATCCACCGCGTCGCCGCACAATGCTCCAGCCGCGGAACAGCACGGTGGCACTGTGAAGAAAGCCAAAAAATCCAAGGCTCGGTCGAAGAAGACCAGCGCCTCGGACAACAATGGCAACAAGCCGATGCACTTTACGGCGAACAATGAACCCAGGGCCTTGGAGGTGCTGGGAGACCTAGATCCCAGCATATTCAATGAGTGCAAGGAAAAGATGCGGCCGGTGAAGAAGGCCCTGAAGGCGCTGGACCAGCCGGATGTCAGTCTGTCGGACCAGGATCAGCTGCAGCACACCAGGGATTGCCTGCTTCAAATTGGCAAACAGATCGATGTTTGCCTAAGCACCTACGCCGAGACAGAGAAAAAGGAGTGGCGCAGTAACCTGTGGTACTTTGTGTCCAAGTTCACTGAACTGGATGCCAAGCGCCTCTTCAAGATCTACAAGCACGCACTCAAGCAGAAAGCAGGCGGCGATGGTGATGGCGAGGCGAAGGGAAAAGACAAGGACTCGGCCGAAAGTCCGGACAAGTCCAAACGCAACGGCGTGACGGCTGAAGAAAGGGACAAGGAGCGCGACAAAAGTGGGGCCAAAAAGAAGAAAAAGGACAAGGACAAGGAACGCAGTGGACAGTCGCGATATCCGGAAGCTGGAACACCCTCCTCCGGTCGTTACGCAAACGACTCGCCCCTGAAGCGTAAGCGCGATGAGAACGACGCTGATGCAAGCAGCGGATTAGCTGGCGCCCCCGGCGGAGGCATCGGCGACCACCTCAAGTCCATGTCCTTCAAGCGGCTCAATACGGACCGCCACGAGGACCGTAAGAAGCACCATCGCGGTGCCGACTACTACGGTGGCAGTGGCCCACCCATGGGAAGTGGGGGCTATGAAGGCGGCAGCAATTCCCGTCGCCAAGGCCCCACCTCCCCATCTACGCCTCGTGGCGGCCGGGGCGGCTACGATCCACCGCCCGCGCCATCCGGCTACACCCCGGAAATGGAGCGGTGGCATTCCCGCGAAAGGTAATGATCGAAGTGGACTTGGTCCTTGCATAGAATTTGAAATATGCTTTACTTTTGCAGATACAGCCAGGAATACAAACGTGATCGCTACGATGGATATCCGCGCAGTGGAGGAGGTCAAGGCAGCTATCATCGCGAACGCGACCGTCGTCCTGACAAGCGCAGGTAATCAATCGCCCAGGCTCGCATTGTGTATTTGGCTTATTCGGTGGTCGTCCATTTCAGATATCCCTCTGGCTTGCCACCGCATCCTTACTCAAGCCATTACCTGCCGCCCAATTACTATGGATTGCCGAACGGAACCGTTCCAGTCCTGCCGCCGCCATCGTCCGGCTACCGCAGTGATCCCCGCGGATATCCGGTCATGCCGCGTGATTATCCTGCCGACTACAGACGCAGCGACTACGAGCGGCGCACGCAGACCTGAGGAGTCGGCTCTGGAGCCCGACTGTCTATTGTACATAGAACACCTAGACTTAAGCGCGGCTGGCGGGGCATCGTCCTGGCCAGCCACTCGACACAGAAAAACCAACCTGCATACAGTACGTTAAGCGTAGCTCCATACACCTGTACAAGTAATACCTAGCAGCTAACTTCTATACATACTTCTATAAATACTATACTATACATCCGATCGCACAGAGGGCCGGCACTGCATCATCCAGGGTTTAGCGGCAATACCTGCAACCTAATCTTAGACTTTCTGTGTATAAATCGTAGGCTTTAACTCGCTCATCATTGCGAAACATCATTTTTATACTACCCAACTGGTGAATGCGTGCTGTGTGGTTTATTTGGTGGCCCGCGATGCGATGCAAACAAGTCGTTCAAAAGCTTTTAAACCAACAACAAATTCTCACTATAATTAAACACTATGATATGTTTGTAAGCACAAGCAATGGGGCCCGTTGAAGATTTGTATCAAGGTTATTAAAGCAAGCAGCAGACTAATCATTTGTTTAATGTCTACATTGCATTCGAACTTTTACAAGCCGTTCAAAATGAAAAATCAGCGAATGATCCAGAGAACTGTAATCTAGTTAAAATTAAAGATACTAATATTAATGATATATTAATATTTAAAGTACGTTGTAGTGTCTGAGAAATCTATTAAATATATATCAATAAATTATAAAACCTATAAATTGAAACAAATGTGTATTTTATTCTAACAATAATGTCCACTTCATGTTGTAATTATTTAAAAACTAAAACTCACCAAATTCCGTATTTTCCCGCTCTAGGTTCGAATGAAACTCTGCGGCGCTATCTTGACGCCGCGCACATGCACCTTCAGCTCAGCTGTTTCGAACTTCGAAAACATTTCCAGCCGCATTCGATTTGATTACTAGAAAATAAATACAAAATAGCCACTGAATAATGGACAACGAACTGAACGGATCGGAACTGGGCACCAAGGAGTTCTGGGAGTCTAGCTACAACCGGGAGATACGGAACTACAAGAGCCACGGCGACGTGGGCGAGATCTGGTTTGACGAAAGCGCCCAATGGCGAACGATCGACTGGCTGCTTGGCAAGGAGAAGATCGACAAGGAGGCGAGTCGAGTGCTGGACCTGGGCTGTGGCAATGGCATGTTCCTGGTGGGCTTGGCAAACGAAGGATTCAACGGGGACCTGACCGGCGTGGACTACTCCCCCAAAGCCGTCGAACTAGCGCAAAACATTGCGCAGGACAAGAAGCTGAGCATCACATACAAGGTGGCGGACTTGACACAGCCGCAGGACGAGTTGGGCCACTTTGACGTGGTGCACGACAAGGGAACCTACGATGCAGTCAGCCTCTGTCCGGACAATGCCAAGGAGAAGCGTGCTCTTTACCTGGCCACAGTGGAGAAGCTGCTGCGAACTGCTGACAGCCTGTTTGTGATCACATCGTGCAATTGGACCGAGGACGAGCTGGAGAAGAGCTTCGCCGAGAAGTTCGTCAAGTACTACACCATTCCCACGCCGACTTTCAAGTTTGGCGGCAAGGTCGGCAATGTGGTAACCTCAGTGGTTTTCAAAAGGAAAAAGGAGTAAACAAGTTGTAGCTCAAAGTGAAAAAATTTAATCTCTTGGAATGCTATTAGGTTCCTCATGGAACTTTTATACAAAACTATTTTTTTATAAAATCAATTAATTATTAACTATTAAAATCCTAGTTTTCAGTGATTTATAAAAAATATAACAATAGATCACATTTTAAAATGATGTTCATGCAGGAATAGAATTGATTAGATTGCGCTAACTTTTTCGACAAACGGGAGAGCCAAGTGGCACCACTTGGTGGAATGGAATGGCCTGCTCCTCGGCGAAGGCCAGGAAATCAATGCCGTAATGCTGTATTAGTTTTGTGAGCATAGCTACATCAGCCTCTGCCTGGTGGGCACTACTTGCTGGTCTTTGAAACTTGCTTGAGAACAGTGTTTCCAATTTATAAACTCCGGGGGGCGGAAAGCGTTTGGTTTCGGCACACTTGAATCCACTGAACAGCTGGCGTCGGGACCTGAACTCTTCGGGCTTCCGCTTCGCAGGGCTTTGCTCCTCCAAGTCATCCTCATTTCCGTCGCGTAATAGCTTGCGCTTGGCGAACGCTTCCTTTGGCGTCAGAATGGGACGGTTTGGAGTAGTTTCGTTTCTGGTTCGCCAATCGATCTCCTTGACCGCTTCTGGCTCCTTGGGGGCAGCTTCAGTTTCCTCATTGGGATTCAGTTCCGGAATGGCTTGGGTTTCCTGCACAGCGTCGAGGACTTTCAAGTGACTGGTTTCTTTTTGTTGGGTGTCGTCAATCTCCATGAAGGCGCGTAATGAGTCTACACAAGTCAGGGATTGGGGAAGCTCTACGTTGAGTTTCTCAAAGATCTGTCTCAGAATGGGAAAATCGAAGCCCCAACCGTTGTGAGCCACCAGACAAACTGGACTCGGCAAGTGCTTCAGAAAGCCGTTGATGAGTTGAGCGGCGTCCACGTCCAGCTTGGACTCACGCTCCAGAATGTAGTTGCTCAGACCTATGGGGTGATGAAATCATTGAGTGACTCACTCACGGATGCACTTTGTAGCTCACCTGTGATTCTCTCCGCTTCCGGATAAACCTTCATGGACGGCTGGAAGAGCAGATTCAACTTGTGCAGTACGCGCGGTGCCGCTGGCAGCTCCTGGTCCTCCTCCTGCTCCTTCTTTTCCTTCTTGAGGAGCGCGGCTTCAAAGGCGTAAATGCACAACTCCGTAATGCCCACTCGGTTGTTCTGGTATGCAGGCAAGTTGCTTGTCTCCAGGTCCAGAACGGCAAATGTAGAAATCTTCGCCGGCTCTTCCGCCTGCTCCACAACCGCCTCGTTCGGAGCCATTTAGAGGACAACTAGTGGCTAAAAATATATGTACATTACGTTTTATTTAAAACGCTTAAGGACAAGCACAGTTCTCTCCACATTTACCAACACTCACAGTCGGCTTGAAAGCATAGAGATGGCACAGTGAACTATCGTGTCTAACCAGAACTCAGTTCGTGCAGTAACATAATTAAATACTGGAAAGCGAACGAATGAAGGATATTTTAAATGATTAACCAATCTAGCTAAATATAATGCATGGGTAGCAAGATTTGACACTAGGCTCCCGTGTCATGCAAAGTAGGCCAGGACTTGTCACCACCTGTCACTAGTCCGTCCAGCAGATTAAGTACATTTTATCCCTCACTTTGGCAGTGAACGTCGACTGGAGCACTGAACTTCTTGTGTGAGTAGAAAATTAATTCGAAAATGGAAGCCACATACCGGCAGGAGCGGGAATGGCTCAATGACCGCGGTCCCATTAATGGCAATGGTACTGCTTACTATGGTGAATATGGCAACCATCGCGGCATCGGTGGCTTTTCTGGCCAATTGGGCCAATCCCAGAACCCGAATCAAAGCCACATGGGTCGCAATTTGAGCGGCTGGCCCTTGCCGTCCGTGCCCTCGGACTACCAATCCCCGCAGGCCAACTCAAACTGGAGCCGCGACCGACCCACCTGGAACAACGAAATGCGTCGCGACGTCCCGTATCAAGCTGAGCCAGCCAACACCATGAATCGCTCGTGGTCCGGCAACGGTGGTCCCTCCAACGGCGGCCCTGCCAATGCCAGCCAGTGGTCTAATCCGAACCCAAAAAAGCAGTCCATGCCGTTGCCACCGGAGGATAGGGGCCTGCCGGACCACATTCTCAAGGAGCTTTCGCACCTTAGCGCCGCCAAGCGCAAGTGGTTCTTTCACTATGTGGACATGGGCTTCAGCAATGAGAAGGCCCTCGCCAGGGCCTCGGAAAAACGCACCGGTCCGGCCGAGAGGTACGACAAGTCAGTTTCGACTGATCGCGGACGCAGGCGTCCGGAGCTGCCGGTTCCGGGTGATCGTGTTCGCAAGCGTCCGAACGAAGAAAACTTGTCGGGCGGTAGGGCCAGAGAGGAACCCAAGAAGCAGCGAGCCCCGGACCCGTCTTCAAGGGCACTGGGCTCCAAGCAAAATGGTTTTACCATGGCAGTAATGGCGGAAAATTATCCCGATTGCGTGCTCACTAATAAGCAACTGCATGAGATCGAAGACGGTCTTGTGGAGGAAATGAAAAAGGGTTGGAAGTCCAGCATCAACTTTGGGGGCATCCAATTCCTTTCCGGACTGATCCAAATCGTCTGCATGGACAAGAACTCCCGCCAATGGCTGGAACATGCGATTAACAAGCTGCCAGTGTTACCGGAGATTAAACTAATTTGTTGTCCGGAGGATGAGATCCCGGCCACCAAGGGAATTACTGTCTACGTACCGCGCTCAGCTGAAGAGCCCGATACGGTCACGTTTGAACTTTTGAAAGACCAGAATACCGATCTCCTGTCGAAAACTTGGGAAGTCGGCCGTATTAGCAAGACCAAAGAAGGCAAGCTGGTGGCCATCAGCATTGGCAGCAAGTCATACAAACTGCTGCAGAAGAATGGCTTTTGCCTTAGCTACCGTTTTAACCAGCTAACTTGCCGCGAGATGAGAGGCAAGGAAGCCCTTAAGGCTGTTCGCGTTAACCAGCCGGAGGAAACGAAGCCCAATTCAGAAGCTGAGGCTGCCGAGTGCATCGCCGACTCAGCTGAAATTGACTTAACCGAGGAGGACGGAGAAGAGTTCATTTCACAACTTGACCTCACCGTTGTGGACGAGGTTAAGGGAGATGATGATGATGATGAGAACGAGAATGAGATATCTGAAGTTCAAGACGATGTAGAAGAGGTAGCTGAAGATCAACACGATGATTTGGAGATCATTGAAGGCAAGAAAGGCGTAGACGATGATGTACAGGTCATTGAAATGGAGCGCGATGAAGAGGAGAACAATGATGACACTGCTGATGGGGAGTGCGAAGTTGTGGAAAGTTCTGGGGAAGAGCATCAGGAGCAGGAAAATAGTGGCAATGCAGAGGTGGTTGAGGATGAGGCATGCTCCTCGGAAGCAACCCTCACTGAGGGCTAAGGGGTTCTCAAGGTAATTAACAAACTTACTTAGATTATAAAATGTGTTTAACATATCGAACTATCTTTTCGTCTACAGATAATTGGAGCGCATTAATCAAATAGGAACATTTTAAAATGAACAATTTCTTGATAACACTAGACATATTTGGCATTAGAATTTACCGGCAAGAAACTCATGGTCTTTACACAACGAACACCAGTTTCGTGCAACTAAGTGACTTCTTACTACAGTATCTGGACATACTGCCTCCCATTAAGATTAGGCATCATATTATGATATACACCAAAGAATTATGGAATATGTTTTTCAATAAACACTTGCCATCACATTTAAAAACAGTTTATTATTTAATGTGTCATATATTGAACGTTTGATCGGGAATTCTCTTGTGCAATTAGCAACAAACGAAACCAACGTTAAGTTTCGTAAAAAAACGCTAACATTTACATACATGCGACTCTTACCAACAATGGGCTTATTACTATATAAGGATTTCGAATCCCAACGTCATTCGAGAATATTACATTTTAAAATACATTGGTGAAGATGCATGGCACGCATAACTTCTGGCACGAGCGAACTAGGCACCGCCGCTGGTCACAGATCGGCAATCCTCCGACTTGGAGTCTGCTGACCCAGCTCCCCGCTTCACTGAAAACTGCATGTAATCCTCACGCGTGGCTGCGGCGTACTCTTGCACCAGGCAGTCAACGGTTTCGCGAGATTCGTCCAGCTCAGTGAGGTCGTCCTTGAAGATGTCCTCGCGACGAAACTGGTCAAGAAAGGCGCCGCGCTTGCGAAGCTTGTCATACTGGTTGAGAGCCCTCTCGAACAACGAGCAGATGCTGGTGTGGTTGGCCAGCATCAGTCCGGACACTCGATGGTTGCTCTGCACGTAGGGCGACGAGCGGGATAGGGCTACCTGGATGGAGGTGGGGCCCCATGGAATGAACTGGGCCATCTTGCGGTCCCGGATGCGCTGCAGTGACTTGTGCACTTGTGTGGGATCTACCTCGCCCTGGATAATGTTCAGAATGGAGATGTAGCAGTGGTGATTCGATTTGTCGGGACCAGTGGACACCATCATGTTCTTGGGCTGCAACAGACGCCGCATGACGTCTAGAACAGTGGTCTTTCGCACATTAACCGGCTGCTGGGAATTGATATCCGAATCGCTAGTCAGCGGCGTGTAGCCAGTCATGAGAAAATGCAGCTGGGGCGTCGGGATTAGAGGAGCCATCAGCCCAATGAGATTGTTGTTCATGTAGGAGGGATACCTCAGCGTAGTGGTGCTGACGCTCATTATGGTGGACACCAGGTTGTTGATCTGCGAAAAGCTCGGATTCTGAATGTGCAGTCGATCGCAGGCAATGCGGTTAAGAGCTGTGTTGTCCAGGACAACCACACTGTCCGCAGCAGTGGTTAAACGTTTCAGGGTGAGCATGGAGTTGTATGGCTGCACCACCACGTCGCTGATCTCGTCTTGGTTGGGAAACACACTGAATGTTTGGATCAGTTTTTTGGGATAGCGGTCCGCCAGGCGCTCCATGATGAAGGAGCCCATTCCCGAGCCCGTTCCACCGGCAATCGAGTGGCAAAGTATAAAGCCCTCCAGGGAATCGCTGCCATCGGCCTCCCGGTCGATGATGTCGAATACCTCTTCCTGCAGCTTTTCGCCCTGACCATAGCCGGAAGCCCAGTTGTTGCCAGCGCCGCCTCCGTGCTTGGATAGGTACACGTTTTCCGGATTGTAGAGCTAAGGGAGTGACCACTGGGGTTGGCAATAAGAATTAAAAGTTGTGTAGCAAGGACTCACCTTCGAGTAGGCCGAGCCCATTATGGTATTGATCACCCTAGGCTCCAAGTCCAAAAGCACCGCGCGGGGTATGTAGTGGTCGTCGTCCGCCTGGTAGAAGAACACATCCTTGCGGTCCATGCCATCGTTGGCAAAGTCCTCCAGCACGCCGCTGGGGGAGATGCCATGCTCCAGGCACAATCTCTTCCAGAACTCGAAGCCAACTGCATTTAAATGATTTTAGCTTAGCAAATGATAATGGTACTCGTCCTGTTCTCATAAACCAACTTTGATTGCCGCACTGCCCAAGCTGCAGAGTAATTATTTCACTTGGCATTGTGGAGCGTCGTTTCCGGCCAGAATCGTCAGGTGCAGTTTCGCGTTTAAGGTGTAATTACTCGAAATAAAACAAAACGCAACTAACAAACAATCGAATTATTACAAAATTTTTTAAAAAATCCCACAGCGGGGATGTAGTTTTTAATTTTGCAAAAATCCAGTGCTGCACAACACCGCAGCGTTTCATGTCGTACCTCTTTAAAAGGTGGCGCAGTAATTTAGTTTGCTATTAAATATATTATTATTTAATACCATTATTGCGAATAAAAAAATATATATTAAGTTTTCGGAAATAAACCATAAATTTCTCATCTTCGTATTTTGTAAAAGTTACAACAGCTTAAAAATATAAATCTTTGAGTTCGAAATATCGACACATGTCGCTAATTATGATTCCAATATTTCAATACTGAACTTACCGTAATTACAGATCTTCAATGATAAAGATTGTTAATTAGGTTGCTGAGCTGGACCTATTTGTGTTCTACTAGTGACGTCACAAAGTGACAATTTTTCTCAACATTGTATATTTCCAGAGATGCCACACAACTAGTGTTGTAAGCGGACCAAAGTCATGCCAACCGGCTTGAAAAATCGCGTTGCCCGCGCAGTTTTCTTTTTGTTGATATCGGGTACTGAAGCAAGCGGCAGTCGCGCAGCAAAACAAGCAAAAGAAGGAACTGAAAAGTCTCTGGAAGTACATTCAAGTTATTGTTGAAAAACTCACAGTCCGAGAATCAGAACTACATAATGCCGCGTGCCAAGGTCGTGAAAAAACGAGCAGAGGCGTTGGCATCTGAACCCACTGACCCCACTCCAAATGCCAATGGGAATGGTGTAGACGAAAACGCAGTCTCCGCCGCCGAGGAAGCCAAGGTTCCGGCGAAAGGAAAGCCGCGCGCGAAGAAAGCCACCAAAACGGCTGTAGCTGTGGAAAACTCCGAGGAAGTCGACTCTCAAAAGGCGCCCACTGCAACCGCACGTGGCAAGAAGAAGCAGCAGCCGAAGGATATAGAAGAAAACGGCCAGATGGAGGTGGTGGCCAAGCCAAAGGGACGCGCCAAGAAGGCGGCTGCAGAAGCAGAACCCAAAGCCGATCCACCAGCTGGAAAGGCGTCCAAGGCACGAGCCAAAAAGGAGCCCACTCCTGCTCCTGAAGAAGAGGCGCCTGCACCGCCTAAGGGACGCGCTAAGACTGAGAAACCATCCACGGCTCAGGCCAAGGGACGGAAGCGAAAGGAGCCGCCGGCAGAAGGAAATGAAGTGGCCGAGGAAGCGGCCGAGCCCCCAAAACAACGGGCAAAAAAGGAAGCGGTAGCAACGTCGATAGAACAAGCTGAACCAGCGACAACTAGCAAGGAGAAGGCTCAGAAAACTGAGACAGCTCCTAAGCGGGCACGCGGAGCCAAGCGTTTGGCAGACTCTGAGATCGCAGCTGCTCTCGAAGAGCAGGAAGTGGATGAGGTGCCGCCAAAGGCTGCTAGCAAGCGAGCCAAGAAGGGAAAGGCGGTTGAACCATCGGCCGAGACTGTAGGAGATTTCCAAGTAGTACAAGAAGAGGAATCCCCTCCAAAAGCTGCAGCTGCACCTAAAAAACGCACCAAGAAAACAACGAATGGTGAGACTGAGGAAGAATTTGAGCCCAAGGCCGAAGTAAAGTCCACTAAGCAGCGCGCTAAGAAGGAATCCAAGGAGCCGGCACCCAAGAAGAAGCAAAATAAATCCGCCGATAAGGAAAACGGTGTAGTTGAAGAAGCCGAGCCCTCGACTGAAAGCAAACCAGGTGGGCAACTCTGAAGTCAATGTAAATTTTGAAAATTTTAAGTTAATAATACTTATTTTAATCCGCAGCTAAAGGACGGAAAAAAGCTCCCGTCAAGGCGGAGGCTGTCGAAGTTATTGAGGAGTCAGCAGAGGAAAGTAAACCAGGTGGGCACATTGTCAAAAATATGTTAAATATCAATGCCATTCTAATCATATGCTATTTGCAGCTCGAGGCCGAAAAAAAGCGGCTGTTAAGGCTGAAGATCCCGATGTCGATGAGGAGAGTGGATCGAAAAGTATGTTAGCGGAGCAATCCGGTTGCGGTGGAGCTGCCGTATTAAAAAGCTTGCAAACCATGCTCAACTTTTGTTTTCCAGCCACCAAGAAAGCCAAGAAGGCCGAGACCAAAACCACTGTAACATTGGATAAAGACGCTTTCGCCTTGCCAGCAGACAAAGAATTCAACTTGAAAATCTGCAGCTGGAACGTAGCCGGTCTGAGGGCCTGGTTAAAAAAGGATGGTCTTCAGTTGATTGACCTCGAGGAGCCAGACATTTTCTGCCTGCAGGTGAGCTAGGGTGGCTATCCAATCTAAATAAAAATATTAATCCAATATAATTTATAGGAAACCAAGTGCGCAAATGATCAACTGCCTGAGGAGGTGACCCGACTGCCGGGATATCATCCCTATTGGCTGTGCATGCCAGGTGGCTATGCCGGCGTCGCCATTTACAGCAAGATAATGCCCATAAACGTGGAATACGGCATTGGCAATGAAGAGTTCGATGATGTCGGCCGCATGATTACGGCTGAGTACGAGAAGTTTTACTTGATTAATGTGTACGTGCCGAATTCAGGCCGAAAGTTGGTAAACTTGGAGCCCCGCATGCGCTGGGAAAAGCTCTTCCAGGCGTACGTTCAGAAACTGGATGCTCTAAAGCCGGTGGTCATCTGCGGCGACATGAACGTTTCCCACATGCCCATTGATCTGGAAAATCCGAAGAGCAACACCAAGAATGCCGGCTTCACCCAGGAGGAGCGTGACAAAATGACAGAGCTGCTGGGCCTCGGCTTTGTGGACTCCTTCAGGCATTTGTATCCCGACCGCAAGGGGGCCTACACCTTCTGGACATACATGGCCAATGCACGAGCACGCAACGTTGGATGGCGTCTGGACTATTGCCTCGTCTCGGAGAGATTCGTGTCCAAGGTGGTGGAGCACGAGATCCGCAGACAATGCCTTGGAAGCGACCACTGCCCGATCACAATATTCTTCAATATATAGATGTACACTTCGTTTGTGTTTAAATGTACTTCTTCAATCGTCATTATTACTTTGTTTTCTATCCACTTTTGATTGTATTTTATTTATTTCTTCACCGCTGTACAAAATGTACGGGCTGAATTATCTGCTTCAAATCGTCATTACTCTATTACATTCTGTTGTAGATCGACCATCCAAATTTGTATTTTTTTAATAAAGTGAACTTTTTGTGCTATAAACGGTTGGATGGATGAAGAATTTGAAAATCGGTTGAATGGATGTAATCGAAAGTTATCGAGTTATCACTTACCTATCTGGTCGATTCGAATGTTGAATATTTATCGACTAGAGCGATTACAAATTCCCTCCAATTTTTAAGCATCCACGTATTTTGCCGGGATTATAAACTTTTGCGATAATGGTAGAAACGCCAAAAAAAGATGAAACTGAGCAGCAGGCGCCTGTCAACCGAGATGAGATGCAGTACCTGGATCTTCTGAGTGAAATCCTCGCAAATGGAGAGCAGCGGATGGACCGCACGGAAGTGGGCACGCTGTCCATGTTCGGTTGTCAGATGCGCTTTAACATGCGGGAGTCCTTTCCACTGCTGACCACCAAGCGTGTGTTCTTCCGCGCAGTAGCCGAGGAGCTGCTGTGGTTCGTGGCGGGCAAGACGGACGCCAAGTTGCTGCAGGCGAAGAACGTGCACATCTGGGACGGGAACAGCAGCAGAGAGTTCCTGGACAGCCTGGGGTTAACGGAGCGTTCCGTTGGCGATCTGGGCCCGGTCTACGGCTTCCAGTGGCGACACTTCGGGGCGGAGTACGCCACCTGCGACGACGACTACAGCGGCAAGGGAATCGATCAGCTGCGTCGGGTGATTGACACTATCAAGAATAATCCCTCAGATCGGCGCATCATCTTGTCGGCTTGGAATCCTGTTGATATGCCAAAGATGGTCCTGCCACCGTGTCACTGTCTGGCACAGTTTTTCGTCTCCACGCGCGGTGAGCTATCGTGCCAGCTCTACCAGAGGAGTGCCGACATGGGCCTGGGCGTACCCTTCAATATCGCCTCCTACGCCCTGCTCACCTACATGATCGCCCATGTGACAGGTCTGAAGCCGGGCGACTTTGTCCACACCATGGGCGACACGCACGTCTACCTGAACCATGTCGAGCCGCTGAAGGAGCAGCTGAAGCGGACACCGCGACCCTTTCCCAAGCTGAACATAAAGCGTCAGGTGCAGGACATCGATGACTTCCGCTTCGAGGACTTTGAGATAGTCGACTACAATCCATATCCCAAGATCAAAATGGACATGGCCGTGTAGGCGTCTTTGAAATCATAAGTTATTATTATATATGTACAATAAAAATCACCACTGAAATATTTTTTAAACACATCATTTCATAGCTTTATTTGAATAAATTTTTGCTTTCATTCATCGTGTGTAGTGTGTGTTTGTTGTTTGTAAATTCTCAGAGTAATCCATAATGAAGTATAATTGATTCTTAATAAATCTTGCACAGAGTATACCATAAATATGCTATATAAATTTGCTTGACATTTTCCGCACTTAATATTGTGATTTTGTTTTGTTTCGGTATCTTGGTTTTTGTCGTTTAAGTAATATAATGCGAATTTGAAGAAAAACGTTAAGGTTGTGTCCGTATGAGAGAACTCGACAGTAATTCAATATACAATTTATGCACTTTAATTAAATTGGAATAATTGTTTTCGGTTTTGTTCGGTGATGATTAAAGGTAAATACATATTAGCTACTACAATACGATACTGTCCACCAATATTTCGACTATGTTTTTATAACGACGAGAAAAAAGGTTGCATAGTTCTTCATACATACATATGTAATATGTGGCATAAATGTATTATGCAAGCTAACCGATAGACAAATATAAATAAGTTTGAATTATTATAATCTGTTATGTTGAATTCATATGTTCATTAACTTATGTTGAGCTTGAAAGAGCGAATGCCACTAGAGTTTCTGAGTTCAGTTAAGATTCAATATTTTTGTTTCCGTTTTGGCTAAAGTGATTCCTTCATCCGTTGCCTTTTGACTTGCGTTTAACAATAGTGCTTAAAATTAGTACCTTTGACTAAGTTCGTTTCGACTAAGATTTGGTTTTAATAAATTTATAATATATCTTAAGTGTTTCCATTTCTTGCTTGAACATTTAAACATATATAAAGAGCGTATTTCCGTCCGCAACTTACTGATGACTTGCACTACAAAATGTTATTCGATTCCTCGTAATATGATCGATAGCCGGTTCTTCTTAGAGGATGCTACAGCCGAAACAAAGATCTGGGCCGGGATAGATAGTATGTTCGTACAGTTCAAAATCAGGCAAAAGTGTGAGGGGAGGCGATTTCCTGCCCCGATAATTCAACCGATCTGGAGGCGCCAGTTCTTTGTATGTGTAGCTACGCCTAAAAGCCATCAATTACACTTCTCAAATAGATTGCAACTGCTAGACGTCAGTTTTCGTTTTGTTTTCACACGAGTGGCTCGTGGTTCTTCTGGGTTTCCTTGCTATTCAACATTCATTTAAGTGAGACTAGTGGGTAAGGATAAGAGAGTGTGTATGTGTGGGGTGTGTGTGTGATCTGTGTGAGAGAAACAGACATTTCAAGCTGAGTGTAAACGATGCAGCGGTTGCAGGGTGGCACGGTTGCATCGCTGCATCGTTTACAAGCCGCCTAAAGAGGGCGCTCTGCAGACTTCCGTTTCCGGTGGCGTCTGCAGGCATTTGCACAACCTTATTGGCTTCAGAACGCGAAGGTGCCTCGAGAAATCGATCGCCATTTATACATACGTCTTTGGTTTTTGCTTTTGTTTCGTTTCGTTTCTTTTGTTTTGGTGTAAAAGTATAAAAGTGTGCCGTAATTAAGCCATTCACTTGGTAGTTAAAATTTGTGGTAACTTGTCGATTTTTGTGTATTCGATTTCGTTCCCATGCTTGAGATCCCTCCTCAATACTCTTCCTTTGTTTTCAAGATATGCTCTTTGTTTTCGTCTTCTTTAAATGTTAACATTATTGCGATTTCCATGTAAAAATTATAAATTTGCTGGTTTCATAGTTTTCTCGATTCGTTAGTCTTTTCTGCATTTAGTTAAACATTCTTTTCTGGTATTTGTTATAATTTACGTATGTTTCTCCTCTCTTCACGTGCCATTCCCCTTCCTCGTTTTCGTTTTGTTTTGTATATTATTGTGCGGTGTTTTTGTTCGTTACCCAGTAAGTATTTAATATGTATATATAATTTAATATTTTGTATATAGTACTCATGTATATATTTAAATTTTTAAAATACTTTCTTGGTTTTCATCCATTTGTATTTATCATTTATAAAACATTTCATCTTAAAAAATGTATATAATCGATTGCTTTTTGTTGTTGTTCATGCTTTTCATTCACTTAACCGCGTATGCCTGGATATCATGTCGAAGCATGTCTATTCACGTCTATTCAAGTATGTCTGCTTTACCCCGTGCCATACGCATGCACCAAAAATTGTGCCTCAATTTTTTACATCTTGTATAAAAAACGTTTCATTTGGTGTTCTCCTTATAGCTTTTACGTTATGTTGAGTTTTCTTGAACTTGCATTGAGACTTGCTGGAAGGTTTTATGCCTAATTTATGTATGTACCTTACGCTTAAAAGCCAGAATTTCTATTTTAATTTCAGTCAAGCTTTTACGCATAAGTGTGAGTAATGTGGGGTTTTCTTTTCTTGAATTTTCTAGTAGATTTAGAGGAGTAGGGGAGAAAAAGCCGTTGAGCTCTACAAATATTGGAGGCTTGGCGTTCCGGTTTCTCTATGCACTACACACATACATACCTAATAATCGCATAATATATATACTTGAATATATAATTTGTTCATGGTAATTAGTTTTAAGTAGTATGCAATAAATTTACTTGACGTATACATGAAAATGGATTTCCGTTATTCGCATGCCATGAATTAGTATTCGTAATAATTTTCGCGGTATGTATGTATGTATAAACATTTAAAATTTGCAATACACAACATCAATATATTGTTAATCATATGTAATAGTTTTCATAAATAGTTATAGATTTTATAGAGAGATATAGCATAGTAAATGTTGAGTAACATCTCGATTTTTCCATTTTGGGCTCACGGCACTTTAAAGGAAAGGGCGAACTTGAAATTAAGGGAACAGAAAACTGCATATTATAATTACTATTTATTCTTTGCATTTAACTTCTCCTACAAGGAATTCTGTGAAGCACCATCATATGTATGTATATCGTTTCATAACTTGTCATTGCCAGGCTTTTGAAAAACTTGCACCATTCCGTCAGCTTTCTCATTCCATGTCCATTTCTGTTTATTAAAATTTGCTATATTTAGTTTGGCAATTTGTTTAATTTGTTCGTTACTTTGTGTTTTGTTATTGCTGTTGAGTTGGGCTTAAACAAATTCGTTAGGCTGAAACGCGTTTTGTCATCTAAGTTTTCATTTCATCATTTTACTTGCTCACTTGTTTGTCTAGGGAGGGACTTTGTTCTGATCTTTTTCTTTAGTTACATTAACTTCGATTGGAGTGGCGTGCTTAGCTTACTTAGCTGGCTTTTGTTTAAGCTTTACAATCGCTGGTTACTTTTTTGTTTTTAGAATTCTCTCTCTGACTCGACAGGTGTTACATTTCCACTTGGTTTCAAATTTTCTTAAATATTTATTCGTTGTATTTGAAGAAATTCTCATGGGCTGTTTCCTCTCGGCTTTTTGTCCCTCATGCTAATGTCCCTGTTAAGATTTAGATATAGAGAGTCTACATTTAAGTGTAATACCGAAGGATAGGTAATGGTTAACATATTAAGGTGACTAGGCGAAGGTTAACTGGGCAATTGAACAAATGGTAATCGAGAATAAAAGGTTTAATTGTAATATTATGCATACACCATTTATTTTTTTTTTAGCAAAAGTTGTACATTGAATTTATAAAACATAAACACGCGTATGTCTTATTTGTTTTGCTTTGTTTGGTTTTCTTTCGCATCTAGCTGCTTTCTCATTCTGCATTGTCTATTTGCAAGTGGTTTGACTATAAGCCAAACGTCTCTATCTGTTTAGTCATTCAGTTCTGTTTTCGTATCTCTTTTTATACATTTATTTATAGCTTAAATATTTGTCAAGTTTGTTTTCATTCTTTGGTGGATTGGGGCTTCTTTGCCTGCAAGTTGTATTTTTACTCTTATTTAAAAATATCCGTAGAGTATGCGTCTTCTACACCTCAAACAAAAACTTAACTATAGCATTATCTTTTCTGTTTCCCTTTTCCCCATGGAAGCTTTCTCTTTGGGAAAGTCGACTAGACGGTTTAAAAGTGCATTAACAAAAGATGTAAGTTCTACGAATTGAATCTAATCTTAAAAAAAACTATGGGGGCATAAACAAAAAAACGATTTCAAAACTTAGTCAACGTAAAAAATTATGGTTACATTATTTCAATGAAAAAACAAATTCTTAACTCAAAATGTGAACAATTCTGTTACTTTTAAACTTCTGCGCATTTCAAACTTATATCAATACCATCAAAACCAAAAACTGAGTAGTCGTTGCCTAAAATTACAAAGGATCCGTGAAATGGACTGATGACAAACCAAAGTAAACTTTAAAAGAACCAATTAGACCAGGTTGGCATATAGCCGTTGTTGCCGTTACTGTTTTTGTTGCCCGAACCTCCGCCAGCTGAATTGGCCGACATTCCCAGACCCATCCCGATGGTTCCGCCTCCATTACGCTGGTTTGCCGTGTTGGCCGAGCCGTTGCTGGATGGAGTTGCGGCGCTGTTGGCCACATTGGTCAAGAACTGGGCGAACTCCTGCTGCAGCTGCAGCTGCTGCTGCAACAACTCGTAGTGGTTCTGGGGCTTATTGTAAATAAACTTCGTGGATGTCTTCAAGATGTTGCTCGACGACGACGACGAGGAGGATGCGGCAGTGCCGATGGCTCCGGCATCGCCGCTGGACGTCGAGTGACTGCTGCTACTGCTGTTGGTGGCAGTTGCGGCCAAATCCCCAGTTGTTGCTGCAGTGCTGCTCGCCAATCTCTTAGGTGGCGCCATTGAATGTTGCTTGTTGCTCGAGGATGCTGGCTTCTGTTTGCTCATATTGCTAGTGCTATTGTTGATGTTGTGCTGCCTGTTGTTGCTGCTGTGGTTAGCGTATTTGCCAAGTTGATAGGCTGCTGCGCTGCAGCCGTTGCTGTTATTATTATTATTGTTGATGCTACCGATGTTGCTGTGGTGGTGATGATTATGGAGGACTAGACCATTGGCCGCCAGAGCTGCCGCCGCCGCATTGGCATTGACAACAGCAGCCAACTTGGTTAATAATTACGTTTGCTTGTTCTTGTTGGTCTTGAAGCTGACCTGAAGAACTCGGTTGCCAAGTGTGTAGCCGTTCAGCGATTGAATGGCCAGAACAGCCTCTTCGTAATTCGTCATGGTGACAAAGCCAAAGCCCTTGCACTTGTTGCTCTGCAGATCACGAATCACCTGGCGAAATATCACAAGAATTCAGTAGTTATCAATTTGTGCTGGATGGGAGCATGAACTCCAATTCTATTGGAACCCACCTTAACAGACTGCACTGCTCCGAAAGGCCCAAACAGCTGCCACAGCACGTTCTCCTCGGTCTCGGGCGCCAGGTTGTAGACGAAAATGCACCAGCCGGAGCTGGCAATGGTGTTGCCCTGGATCATGCCATTGGTGATCAGGTCACTGGTCAGCGGTGAGTACCGCGAGATTACAGAGCTGTAGTGTAAATTGAAATGAAAGTTTAATTACAATTAATCTTTCGAATAATTTAGTGTATGTTCCGCAATTCCTGACCTGTAACGTCCCGCGTTGGGATGAATGGCAGCTGCAGCGGCGGCGGCTGCCGCTCCGGCAGCAGCGTTGGCCGGAAATGCTCGTCCGCCACGCGTGTTTTGGGGCGCGATGTAGGCAGCCAAAGGCTGCATGCTGTTCTTATTGCTGCTAGGATTGTTGGCGAACTTGACGGTTATGGGTTCGGTGGAATTCTTCGGAGTGGTGCCGTTCAGCTCTTTTATGGCCCGGTCGGCCTCAAATCTCTGATCGAAACGTATAAAGCCAACGCCCTTGGAGAGACCTAAAATCATGTGATATGTCATCATATATGGAGTTTGTATATTTTATGCAAGCAAATATGTGCAGCGGATGAAAATTACTTAGAAGCAAGGCGAATGCGCACGATATCTGAATATGTTTAAGCCATGCGTTACTACTAACTTTTGATGAGTGTGGAATAATGTGAGCGATGCTATTTTAATATTTTTCCAGAGCGTTTTAGAGTAAAGGTTGTCAACCGTAATAAACGTCTGGTCTGAATTATTATAGCATAATAAGTGTAACTTCATGAGCGATGAACAGCAATAAAAAATGGTGAAACATAGGAAAAATAAAATAAAAACATACCCGCAGCATGTTCATCTTATTTGGTATTACATGTAAAAATAAAAGTGTAAATAAAATTTGCATTAATTATAATTCATGGAGAATATATTGTGGAGCGCCAGCAAAAATAGAAACAAAAGTGTGCCAAAACCCATAGACTAAAATTAATTCAGCAAACATTTTTTAATAGATTTTAGATTGGACATGCTCTCAAAAGCGACTACAACACCCGAAAGTCGAAGATCCTTTCAATCGTATTTAAACCATAGATATATACCATATATTCTCGCCTCTTAGGATCACAACTCACCAGTGATATTATCACAAAGAATACGCGAGGTTATGATCTTGCCGTACGGACTGAACAATGATTCCAAATCCGACTGTGTCATATTTTTTGGAAGACCCGATACATAGAGATTGGCACCCTTGATGCTCTCGGAGCTGGGGCGCGCAATGGAGACCTTGATGGTTTTGTTCTGCAGCCTGAGGCCGTTCAATGCGTTGATTGCCTTTTCCGCATCCTCCTGCTTCACATAGTTCACGAATCCGTACCCCAGACTTTGGCCTGCAACGATGTTGTATTTAATATATGCCACTATAATGTCTCATTTTGCATCAATCCTACCTGTCACCTTGTCGCGTATCAACTTGCAGCTCTCCACCTCGCCAAAACTGACGAACAACGAACGAATCTCGTCCTGCGACATCGTCTGTGGCAAGTAGTTCACAATCAAATTGGTCTTGGGGTCTGGTTCATTATTATTGTTGTTGTTGTTGTTTGCAGTGGCGTTATTGTTATTGTTGTTGTTGGTATTATTATTATTATTATTGTTGTTGCTCGCAGCATTGTTTGCTGTGGCCTGACCACCGGCCGCATTTGTCGTGGATCCGGTACCCGCTGCGGCAGTTGTTGCCGCAGTGGTACCCCCATTGGTTTGGGGCTGACTGTTGGTCACATTGTTGGCCGGAGTCGGTCCTCCTGCGGATCCGGTGGTGCTTCCCACGCCGCTGGCACCGCCCGCGCCGGATGGTGGTTGCTGCTGCTGCTGCACGGCTGTCTGACCCTCGACCATGTTGCGGTAGCTGCTGCTGAAGGGATGTGCTTGTTTAAAATCAGATGTATCTCCAAACTTAGATCTAGTACAAGCGATTGAGTCACTTCTTTCGACTCAAAAGTTTGATATAATCTTACTGATGCGGTGCAAACTAATACCACAAAGTTCTACGAAATAATTTGGAAGACTTAGAGTACCAAAGCATTAGCTAAGCCAATGAATATTCTGTGCTATTAGTTTAAACGCAGTTATTAGATGGAAGGCGATTAACTTTACAGCTTTCTTGCTTGAAAACTGGTTCAATAGACAGAAATAGAGATGGCGAGTAAATCAAATAAGTGGCTGTAGATATAATACTGCTGTGAAGTCTGCAAGTGGATAGTAATGATTAGTACAAGCTCCAGCCTGCAAATTCAGCCCTTACTTACCCCTTTCAGATGCACACTCCTAGCAACGGCAGTGGATTAAAGAAAGTCCGCTGCCCGTTCTTAGCTCCTCCTACTATAGCCTAGTTAAAAGCGCCACACCAACGATATCCACTACGTATGAGTAATGTGGTATGCCAGAAAGTTTACTGAAAGAGAAATTAAGAGAAACGAAATACAAAGTTACAATAAAAATCAATTGTTTTAATTTAATTTAACTGAAATGCGGGCTGGCCTGCACTTCTTGGAAATGGGGGGAAAATACCAAGAGTAAACATTTTGAACAAACCCATACAAATGTCGAGGCCTCTTTGGCTCTGTGGCTTGCAAATTTGCTGGCTGGGTTGGCTAACAGACTGAATTGGGCTGACTGACTGCCTGGTAAATGCAAATAAGGCCAAAATACCCGAGCATTGACTGGAAAATCGATTCAATTAAAAGTGCCCCCCTAATTGAATTGAAGGCCTACAGAAAACTATTCTTGAATTTGGCATTTCATTGACTTTCACTTAATGGGGAACATAATCAAATGGGGAATTGTGAAAAACCTGAATGATCAAGTAAAACCCATAGCTGTAAAGGTGTTATTGTTTATAGCCCAAAATAACCAACTGACGTATGGTTTCTTTTCTTAATATGTGGTTGTTTGCCATGTTCTTTCAGCGGGTCTGCTTCTTATTACCCAAACAATAAATTGGCCAAAAGCAGGCAAGTATTTTTAGCTCACATTCAAATTGGCCTTTATAATGGTGGCACGCAATTAGTAAGAATGTACGATTGAATACACAGGAAGGTTCTTCCCTTTTACCAATGTGTATACAAAAAAGGGTATCATTGAATGAAATGATATTATAATAAAGAAATAATACAAATTTCGTTGCAATTGTGATTCAACCCAATCAAGAGTATTTAATGCCTATTACTCAATAATTAATATTTTTCTCGTTGTCCATGAGTACAGGTACAGAACGTTCCACCTTGGGTTGAGTTTTCGCAACTTGTCTGGGCAGTTTGTTGCATTCAACGCCGCAAATCGTGCGAAAAAGTTATATTTTAAAAATAAACAATCGGATGGATGCTGGGACGGTGTGAGGAGATGCAGGAGCATAGAATTGCGCCGCTGCGTAGCCGGCGGGATTATATTTTCGAAAATATTTCTGAAGCAACAACGATCTGGCCGATCTGATCGCAGCTGATGCGAGAGATGCTGACGTTATGTATTTGAGGTTAAGTAGCTGGTTACCAGCGATTCGGGGAAATGCCAAAATATTGGAATATCTGTTCGGATTACATAAAGGGAGAAGATATTTCCCGCTTTACCTTTGTTTTCTGTACGGGGGAAAATCAAATAAGAGTGGTTGCTAATCGTAGGTGCCTACGCGATTACGAAACAATTTTCTGGCGATGTTTGCTTTTATATTTTTAATAATAACCGAACGCTCCACAAAACAAAAGACGAGACAAACGCAAAAATGTTGTACTCATACAAATAGAAATAACCGAAGCAAATAATATCTGGAATATTATCGATCGAATTGTGTTGATGGTGTGTGCCGTTTGAAAAATAAAAAACCAAGCCAAACCGAAACGTGAAACTAATTCGTAATAACAATAATAATAAGGAAATAAAACCGAACGGAAAGTAGAAAAGAACGCGTTCCTGCAACTCAACAGAACAGAAATAAACTGATTTGCCGAGCGGCGTGGAAATTATTTTTATGCCCCACCGACGAGGGCAATCGTACTGCGGCTACATGTCCAAGAATCGGGAGAGCAGAGCCCCAAGAGAGAGACGCTTCTTGGCCAGAAACAGAAGTCGTCATTGTCGGGTGCTCTTCGCCCGCTCGGGGAAGAGAAAGCCTCCCGATGGGAATGGATCAAACTTACACGGCTATATGTTTTCCTACAGCCAGAGCACATATATCCGCAAGGTGGATTCCTCAGATGCTCGACGGCGGAGGTAATTTATAATTGGATTTTGCGCAAAACATACACACTTACAGTGCACAGTATTTCTATAATTGCGTTATGGGAACTTGTTTTAAATTGAAATTCGACAGAGTTCCTTCTGGGTGACTCCAAAGTTACGAATGCATTTCTTGTTCCAAAGACAGCTGCGCACAATGGGGGAAATCTGTTTTGCAAAACAGTTGCTCAAACATAGTGACCATTTGTCTGGACCATCTTACTATCTAATTAGCAACCATGAATAAACATGTACTTTGATATGTTATAAAAAAAGAAATGTGCTAATAAGTAAATCAAGGGAGTAATAGTTATATTAGATCTGATATACTGCATCTATAGTAAAATCATTTTTCGTTGACACTCTTTAAATTTCACAAACTTTTTGGCAGCTCGTGAATTCCTTTTCGTTTTCAGTCAACCGAAGGAAACTTCCTATTTTCCTCCTCTTGCGATGCACGCCCCCAAAATAAGGGGGCGCAACCATTAATTTTCATTCATAAATAGTTGGAAATTGTTTCCGGCTAATTGATGGATATGATGGCACATACCTATGCAGGCACACACACACTCGCAGTCGCACACACGGATACTGGAAGAATGGGGAAGAAGTGTTCAAAGGGCAGGAACAAAACAAAAAAGTGACACACCTTGGCAAAGGCAAAGGCAGAGGATGAAAGGAGAGAGAGTGAGAGAGCGTGCAAAGGAGTTCTGGGCAAGTAACGGGTCAGCAAAGTAGCAGAACTTCTAAGGACGGCGGCTGAGGCCGCTTGCATTTGATTTGGGTGCGGCAAAAATAAACAGGATATATAGGCGGAGAGATAGAGAGAGAGTGAGAGCGCAGGCTGCAGCGGAAGCGCAGCAGTCAGCTGAGCGCGCCACAAGATATGCAATGGCCATTGAGCACCACATAGAGAGTGGGAGCCAGAGAGCGAGCTTAACTGCAAGCTGGCGTCGGCGTCGACGTCAACTGCGCTGCCTAAGCAGGGCCGCCTCAAAGGGGAGCCTCTGAGATCAGGGGCTCACAAAAACTCTTAGAAAGCCTACTATGGAAATTGAAGAATATATGTTAAAGTATACATTTGCGATAATTACACTAAAATTCTCGAATTTTGTTTCTTTTATTTCTACCAATTAATCAGGTAGGTTCATTCGTTGTAGTCTTTGAAAATCAAGATCTATGTAATAGAATTTTGTGCCACAAATATAAGAATTAGCATTAGAAAACTAATGTGTGGAAAACAAATTGGTATATTTGGGGATCGATTCCCGCTGAAGAATCCGCTCCTGTGCGGCGTTTTTTAGGTTAAATGGCGGCTGCAGGCAGCGAAATGAAAACTGCGAAGCCGGCGCTGCACGAAACGCAGCTGCATGAACTTCTGTGTGTGCGTGTATGTGTAGGCGGCAAATATATATCAGAGTGTAGAGAAATTGAGATTTCGCCGACTGCGAGCCGCCCCATTGAGCCCCGTTTTACTATTCGCACACATACACACACACACACACGAATGCAGGGCGAAAAATCGACTTTGGGTGTGGGCACTTTTGCAAATAAAATGGTGTAACTGTAACTGTAACTACATATCCGCTGCATTCTTCTTCTGTTCGCTTACATTTATTTGCCAGCGCCGCAAAGTATACCACGCCGATTTTCCCAACTCGGCTCGAAAGAAAATGGATCTGGAACTGGGACTGGAAAATGTTCTTCGTTGCAAATGATGTAGTTTCAATTTGAAAACTGAATTGAGCACGCACACACTAAGGGTTTTCGAACTGATTTCGATACTGATCCGGATTCAACACTACGTGCAAGTGGACACACGTACATGTATATGTGTATGTTTGTGGGCGTAGTTGCGTGAGTATGCAAGATGTGTGTATTTTGATACCGATATACAACAATTCAGAAACGACGACAATACGACGAGAATCAAAAAACACAACTTGCTGCCGGAGAGTGCAAGAACTAAATGATTAAAGTGTTCGATTGCCGCCAGGATAACTGCAGCCAGGACCCGCGACAGCGCTGCTGCGCCGCAGTCCGCGGCCCCAGCGGCAGAGCTCCTCCTCTCCTCCAATTGGCGTACAGTTGAGCACGGCCCCACAGAGAGCGGGAGGGGGGCGGTGGCGAATGCACAGCATAACTGCGTAGTTTTGCACTCGCATGCACAGTGGGACACATTCAATTCCTGGGGCATAGGGTGCGGACTTTAACCCTCTCCTACTTTCTTGTGTTGCAAAGATAAATCTAATATGACTTACCAAATAATAATGGTACATCTGGATATATCCAAAATGTTGACGGATTTAACGGATTTCGATCAGAATTAAACTAAAAAAACCACCGAAACCTTCAGACGAAGAATAACTGCACGCCAAATTTGTAAAGGAATATATCTTGCAATTGTAAAAAAGAAGAAATCTAGCAATTGTAAAAAATAAGCAATTTTTGAACCTGACAGTTCAGGATAAGTTTAAATGCCAATGCACTGTAGTGGGAAGCAGAAATGCTGTTTTCTTTCGAATATAAACACTTGGCAAAGTTGCACCATTGTACCTTGCGAGAAGTAACAGTCACGAAGAAGAAGCCAGAGTCAAAGGGACTGCAAATAATAAAAAGCTGCAGCCGCAAGTTGCGCAGCCTGCAACAGCTCCGGCAACATAACGGTACTCATTCGCTCGCTCTCTCTATCTCCTGGCTCGGCACTTAACCGATGTACCCTACATTTGGCTTCGCAAAACATAAACAAGGAAATGCAGCCGTGAACACGAAACGAATTGCGGTAGGTTCTCCGTTCGGCAAAGAGCGAGTCCCAAAAGAGGGGGAGAGAGTACCGAGGCTCGTAAGCCGGCCGCATTGCTGTTGTTGGAGCTGAGAGAGCCAGCATGGCACCCAAACAAACACTTAAGCAACAACAACAACGGTAGCTAACCGCTTCACTGAAGTGAAGGCTCCCAGAGGGGATAAGAGGGACTTGGCACCCAAAAGAGCGCAAGCAAGAGAGAGCACCAAAGAGCGAGAGAGTGAGAGAGAACGGCAGGAGCGTAGGACGAGCTCAACTTGACATCATCATCATTTGTGTCAAAAGACCATTGAACTTTGCGAGCGGATGGAACAGAACAGCTTCACCCCCACCCCGCCGCCCACAAGTATGCAACAATCCCTCGCTCTCCTTATTTATATGCGGTTTGTTTTGTTGCTGCTCGCACACCATCACAATAACAACCCACACGCATGCACTCACTTTGCTTAGGTGTTGGAACCCAATGCATTTCATAATGTTACGCCTTTAACCCTTAACTTGCTGTTCGGAATCTTAAGGCCCTTTGATAAAACTTCCAAGTATTAAGGAAATTGTGACATTCACGACACAGCTATGGTTTAAATCTTAAAACTACCTTAATAGCAAATAGGTTCCTATTTAGTTGGGTATACATTCTTATTACCTTACCTTACTTGTGATGGATATACTTCGTGTTCCAATACGTTTCGATGACATTAATCCGATTGCTGGATTCCTGCAGAGGCTTCAGATACGATTCCCTTGTAATAAGATCTTCAGGTGCAGGCGGATACCCTGTTGGAACTGGGAAACTTCCTTGTTGCATTGTTTTTAATGGTCGATTCGCAAAATCGCCATGTGATTGCCACTGCGAAAGTGCATTTAAAATTGGATTAATTTAATTGTTTAAATGATTAGTTGGTTGTCAGCTTACTGGTGCTTTCCACTGCGGTTGATTTTGATATGGGACGCCAGAGTTCCAGCTTTGGTTACCATAAAAGTTTGGGTTCCGAAAGCCCCCGTTTTGATTTGGATATAGCCAAGATTGTGGTGGTGGTGGTAGAGCTAGGGAAGGCAGCGTGATCGTGTTGCCGTTCTCCTGCTCCTTGATATTCGGGAACCCATTTTCGCATTTAACGTGAACCTTGTCCTTTGGGCCCTTTGTACAAATGTCCAACTCACGTTTGATGGACACATCCTCCTCGCTGGTGCAGTCAGACACGTTGCCCTCGATGCGCCTCTTTCTCTGCCGATTGCTGACCTCTTTAGCTTCTGGTTCTCTCATATTTAGACCTGGAATTAGCGACAGAGCCCTCCATCGTTGGCGCCGAAATCGCCTTCGCTCGTTGCGACTGTACCTGGATGACTCGACCAAAACATCACATTGATTGTGCATTCTTAACGACCTAGTAGTTGATAAAGTTGTAAGCGCAGAAGCAGAAGAAACGACACCACGTTGTCGAAAGCGCAGCAAGGAATGCACTTTTAGCTGAGTTGACAGCACTGCCAGACTTGTTCGGCGACTTACCAACACTGATCGATTTACCATGCCAAAAGAATTTCTCGTATTGCACTAAGCTCTTCGGCGAAATGAGTTGATTAATCTTTTTATAGTCAGTTGGTACCAGGTTTTTCATCAAAGAGGCGGAAATAGGAAATCAAACTGTCTGACTTTTTTGTTTGAAACAGATGGACATGGCTTTATTACCTAGCCTGGTCACACTGAACCTTAATAACCGAAGTCATTTCCTTCCGTTTTTATAACCATCCATAAAGTTAAAATTAGAGAAACGAAGGCAGTTATGTAAATGTTACAATTTTTGATGTTTTATTCGTTTGATTTATCAACTACTGTTACGGTAATTGCATATTAAATTGGTTGTTGTTCTGTTGTTGCTTAAACTTTAATAAGTGTACTTGGTTTTAGCTGCGGCTGAATTTAATTATATTTGTACAAAATATATATTTACTTTTAGCTTTGTCAATGAACAACA